TTATATTTTACCAACAAATTGGTAATTAATTACGTGTGTGCCCCAAAATTAACTTTAGTGTTTTTCTTTACAGAAATGTTATGTTTCCTAGACATTTGCGGTAATATTGTGTGATATGAACACTTGGAACTACCACTATTTTATTCTCTGCTTTCAGAAAATATATAATGTTTTGGAAGTTTGTGCAATCTTCAATTATTATCTAAAATTATTTTTTAAAACGTATGCACATAATGCAAAAACAGCTCTGGCAGTGAAAAGGTTAAAGAATGAAAATATTTCAAAGTGTACAATGCCTTTAACATTTTCATTTTTCACCCCTTTCAAGGCACATTTCACTTTGTCTCATGGGGATGGGGGATTTAATAAAACTGGAGAGTGCAAAATCTGGTGCAGCTCTGCATAGAAACCAATCAGCTTCCAGGTTTTATTGCAAAAGTCTAATTGAACAAGCTGAAATTGGAAGCTGATTGGCTACCATGCACAGCTGTACCAGATTCTGAGTGCATCAGTTTTAGTAAATCTCCCCCATAGAATTAAGAAAAGGTGGAATTACACCTTAAATTGCATATCTCATCCATATTTTATTCTGCAGAGGGGAAGAGATTACTAAAAGAGCCAAAGGACAACAGCACACTTAGCTGAGTTAACAGAAAAGCCGTATTCAATTGATCTGCTTACTTTTAAGTCGGGTGAAGGGCTTGTGAACCTGTCCAAGAGGGGTGAGGGGCAAAAATAAAAGCAAATGTCTAATGATTTTATGGTATTGACTCCCCAAGTACTATGTTGTGTACGCTGAGGAAATCAGAGTTACATATGATGACTGAATATGTAAAAGTATCAAGAAATTATATTTAACATGTAATCACGTAAGCTGTTATTGACAGTCTTTAACCGATAAATATAGATGGGCAGTGATATGCTATTATTATTGCTGTTTTTATTCTCATTTGAAGCACTTGATCCAAATATTTAAAATTGCTATAAAAATGGAATCTGCTTTTTTTAGTTTTGAATATAGTGGGGGTTAGATTTACTAAAACTGGTGAACTCTGGTGCACTAAATCTGGTGCAGTTGTGCATGGTAACCAATCAGCTTCTAACTTTGGCTACAGCGCAGTTGTCCAGTTATGGGAGGGCATGATATGACATCCTCCCAGATTGTGCCCCCCCGCACGCTCCCAGCAGCGCGCACACCAGTGCTGTCACTGATTGCTGTGTCCTATGGACACAGCTGATCACATGACTAGGTAAAAGGCCAATCACAGCGGCTTTTTACCATGTGATCTACTGTGTCAAATGACACAGCAGATCACAAAGTAAATACAGTTGCTGGTTATCGGCAGCACTTTCCTCACAGCGTGAGGAACGTACTGCTGATAACTGTCAAATGTCACAGAGCAGATCTGCACTGATTATCAGAGCACTGATGATCAGTGCCCTGATCATGAATACCCAGCAGTGCCACCCATCAGTGCCCAGAACGGTCACCCAGCAGTGCCCATCAGTGCCGCCCATCAGTGCCCAGAACTGCCACCCAGCAGTGCCCATCAGTGCCGCCCATCAGTGCCCAGAACTGCCACCCAGCAGTGCCCAGCAGTGCCACCCATCAGTACCACCAGTCAGTCCCATCAGTCAGTGCCGCTTATCACTGCCCATCATTGCCCATCATTGCTGCATATCAGTGCAGTATCATCAATGCCTCCTCATCAGTGCCCACTAGTGCCGCCTCACCAGTGCAGCCTCATCAGTGCCGCCTCATCAGTGCCGCCTCACCAGTGCAGCCTCATCAGTGCAGCCTATCAGTGCTGCCCAGGGGTGGACTGACCATTTGGGCACTCGGGCACAGCCCGGGGTCAGTAGGGGGCCCCATGAGATGCCCCTGGCACGTTTCATCGGCTTTTTTGGGTGTGGTTTGAGTGTGGGCAAGGACACAGGGGCCCCATGATCCCCTATTGCCCCATGAGGGGTACCCATAGGCTTGAGTGTGGGCAAGTCAGGGGCCGTCCCCTATTGCCCCATGAGATGCCCTGCCTATCAGTGACACACAGGGCCCCATCATCCCGTGCCCCATCAGATGCTTCCTATCAAAACCTCATCAGTGCAGCCAGTCATCAACAAACAAACATCAGTGAAGGAGAAAAATTACCTGTTTGCTAAATTTTGTAATAGAAACAAAGAAAAACTTTTTCAAATGTTTTACTCTTCTTTTGTTTATAGTGCCAAAAATTAAAACCCCCAGTGGTGACTAAATATCAACAAAAGAAAGCTCCATTTGTGTGAAATAAAATGATAAAAATGTCATATAGGTACAATTGTCATTCAAAATGCGACAGCGCGGGAAGGTGAAAAATTCCCGGGCTGGAAGAGAATAAAAGTGCTCGGTAGGCAAGTGGTTAAGCTTTTGGCAATAAAACCTGGAAGCTGTCTGGAAAGTCACTTCCTTGTAGCATCCCCAAGATGCCAGGAACACAAACACTACCCCTATGTGCATCAAGGAAACACCTAAAATAAATCTGAATATACAGATCAATGTTATCAATGCTGGGGTATCATCACTGTAAATAATATAACCCAACTGACATCTTTTATGGCCAGTTCACAGAACAATTTCTGTGTTCCCAATGCATTTCTGTATGCCCGTTTTTCATACATTCTGGTGCATTTTTTTTTATGTATTCTGGTGCATTTTCTCCCCTCTTTTCTTTCTTCATCTCAATTGAGGACATGTGTGTTCCGATGTGTTCTGGTGTGTTTTGCCTCCAGATTCAGACGAAATGTTCATTATTCTGAGATCTGGATGTATCTGAATTTCCAAAGTAGTAATGAATTTCAACAAATCCAAAATAGATTATAATGAAACAAATTATCTGAATTCAAATTACAAAATGAGTTTCTTATTGGAATTCAAAAATGAATGTGAATTTAAAAATTAATTTGAATATTAATTCAAATTTGGAATGCCAATATATTGCAATAAATACAGTAAGGTATAAAAATGAAATAAGATGATGATTCCCACTTAAGTTGCTTTATAGAATAGAAAAGGAAAGAATAGAATAGAATAAAAAAGAAAAGAATAGAATAGAAAAATAGAATAGATTAGAATATAGCTAACTTCCAAAATTTGAATTTCAAATAAATTTTTCGAATCGTTTTGAAAATAATGAATGTACAAAATGCATCCGAATGAAACAAATTCCAAAAATGAATAATTCTAACATAATGAATATGATGAAACAAAATTAACTTAAAGTGTTACTAAACCCAGGACCCTGCATTCACTATATCTGGTCTCCCCGGACCCTGCATTCACTATATCTGGTCTCCCCGGACCCTGCATTCACTATATCTGGTCTCCCCGGACCCTACATTCACTATATCTGGTCTCCCCGGACCCTGAATTGACTATATCTGGTCTCCCCGGACCCTGCATGCACTATATCTGGTCTCCCCGGACCCTGCATTCACTATATCTGGTCTCCCCGGACCCTGCATTCACTATATCTGGTCTCCCCGGACCCTGCATTCACTATATCCAGTCTCCCCGGACCCTGCATTCACTATATCCGGTCTCCCCGGACCCTGCATTCACTATATCTGGTCTCCCCGGACCCTGCATTCACTATATCTGGTCTCCCCGGACCCTGCATTCACTATATCTTGTCTCCCACAGTACACAGAACATGGAAATGCAATTATTTTAATAAATATAAACAGCTAAATACTTTTTCTCATCAGCAGTTAGAGCAGTCTTGTGACTTCTATCTGTGTCCAGCCCACCACTAGCTAAAGGAAGAGTTTTCTTTCTGCTCTAGGAGGATGCAAATCCCCTGACCTCTGTCTGGACAGTGCTGATTGGCCCTGTGCTGATCACATGCACTCTCCCAAGAAAAAAAAAAAAAAGCTCTCTTGCAATACACACCAAACTGAGCATGTGCATGCCTACGATTCAGTCTGAAGATAAGAGGTGGTCACTTGAAAAAGGGGAGGAACAGAGAAGACAGGATCAAATAGCCTTTTTACACAATGCGGGGGATTAACCCCTTAGATTCCAGTGAGTATAACAAGCATGCTTTACTGCATATACAGACTGATTTTACTGTTGTGGGTTCAGTAACACTTTATCGAAGGATTCTGAAACAAAACAAATTCATGTTAAACACTGTGCATGTTTTTTTGATCAACTACACAAAAAATGTTTTTTTGATGCAGAATACAAATGCACTGTACTGCAGCTGGTTTGAATCCGTATATCTGAATATGGTTCATCTTGATCTGAATGTTGGGTTAATACGAAAAATGTGTTTTTTCTCAGCTGGAATACATTTTCTCCAACTTTACCACTGACTTAGTTTTTTATGCTATAGCTAGTTTATGTGTCTCCGTTTGAGCATCAATTTTAATATGTAATCAAGAAGAATCTTTTCTCACAATGAGCCTCATTTATGAAATAATCTTAGGATAGGATTTTCTCCACACTCTGTAAAACCCTGTAATGGCCAGTCACATGTTGGCTTTACAACATTGCAGAATAAGCAGTTAGCAGGGTGTGAACAAACAAGTTGGCCTCACTCCAATGACATCAGAATTCCAACAGCTATATTATTCCAGGACTAGACCCAGCTGAGTCAGGTTTGGTCTTGGTAGACACTTCTGTGATCTAGTCCTAGAATAATAAAGCATTGTTTTTGAATTTTTGAACTCAGTGTAGAGCTATTCACCCTGAGGTCATCACAGAGGACAAGGGGGCACTCTTTATGTCTGGAGGTAAAGAAATTTAATCTCCAAACACGGAAAGGTTTCTTCACAGTGAGAGCTGTGAAATGTGGAATAGACTCCCTCAAGAGTTGGTTCTGGCCAGCTCAGTGGATTGCTTTAAAAGAGGCCTGGATTCTTCCTTGGATACACAGAATATAACTGGATACTAACATTTATAGGTAAAGTTGATCCAGGGAATATCCAATTGCCTCTCGGGGGATCAGGAAGGAATTTTTTCCCTGCAGGAGCAAATTGGATCATGCTTTGCTGGGTTTTTTTGTCTTCCTCTGGATTAACTGTGAGTATAGGATTATAACTTTTTTTTTTTAATGGTTGAATTGGATGGACTTGTCTTTTTTCAGCCACACTAACTATGTAACTATGTTAAGACTGATGTTTTTGGAGTTCCAACAGCCAGCGCTGAAACCACAGAAATGTGAAGGTTGCGGTCTTTGAATTACAGTTTCCTTTGGTACCATGTAGTAGAGTGTTATGGGGAGGTTGGTTACACTGTTTTTCATTGCAGCCTTCCTCCTTGAGGTGCACCCTTGAATGACTTTGGGTGGGACTGTGTCCTGAACATCACTTGGTATATAGAGACCAGAGTGGTCACATGACCACTTCTGGTTTTTGAACACTAGAGGGAACCCTGCAAAGGACAATTGGACCACCATCTTGGGAAGCTTGTGTCTAATATAAACACAGGATTCCGGTGAGATTTGATGGCCATTTTGTCTCAGACCTGGCACATAAATGCCATGTACTGCATCACAGAGGGGAGTCCTGCATGAGAAGAGGAGAGGACAGCCGCTATTATGTAACAAAAGAGTCAGTTCCACATGGCGGCCCCATGTAGGGAAACTTGCCTTTAGCAACCATGTTGGAACTGGCTTCTTCTGAAAAGAAGATTGTTCACTGACAAATTAAAGGATAAGTTCACCTGTGGGAACATGTTACATGTTCCACCCGTTTTAGAAGTCTCCCCATATTATCTGTCAAATTTGAAAACACCACAGCTGTGTGGGACTCCGCCCACATGGCCGCATCATTCATTCACTGACTTCTATGAATGAATGAACTGCAAGTCCCGACAGCCTTAGCAGCTGTCGGCTTGTAGTTTTCAATTAACTACCACAAAGCGCCATGGTAGTTCATTGAAGCTTCCTGTCAGAATATCTGCTTGGCCCTACATCCCGTACATCGCATACATCCCGTACATCCCGTACATCCCATACATCCTGTACATCCCCTACATCCCATACATCGTGTACATCCACTACATCCCATACATCCCCTATGTCCCCTACATCCCATACATCCCGTACATCCCATACATCCCATACAGCAAGCAGATATTCTGACAGGTCTGCAGGAGACCTGCATGGCAACAGAAATTTACTGACTGCTGGTGTAATGCTTTCCAGGCTCCTGCAGACAAATGCAGATTGTTTTACCTGCAAAAAATGTGCATTTATTATTTTTGTCTAAAAGGCGAACATATGCTTTAAGTTGAAGTAAAACCACTAAAATGCAATCTAGACCTGACTGGGCATTTTGAGGGTTATTTATGAGAGCTGGAGATTGCAAAATTTGGTGCTCTGCACACAAACCAATCAGGTTCCAGGTTTTATTGTCCAAGCTTAATTGAACAAGCTGAAGTTGGAAGCTGATTGGCTACCATGCAGAGCTGCACCAGATTCTGAGTGAACCAGTTTTAGTACATCTCCCCTCTGTGTCTGTAATGTGTTGGGATGAAGAGTGAGTGGGGCTGCTAGTGGACTGTGCAGAGAAGGAGCATACAAGGAAGGGTGATATGATGGAGTAAGGATCTTTGGTTTCCCAATAGTTGAAGCAGACCAACACTTAGGGCTGCTATGTTCTACTGATTTAGTGGAGTGTTGGCCCCTTGAAGAGCGCCTGAAGCAACTGGGAATAAAAAGACCTCTCAAGTTAGGAAGTTTCTCTTCTGATATTGAACTTTGTAATGCTGATCATATATATGGCCTGGGCTAAGCACCCTCCTATATTTGAACTTTTGAGAAAGCCCTTGAAGGATTCTGAGGCTTAGATGAACCTGTTTGAAGGGGATATGTAACTTTTACATATCCCATTCACTAGTGGGAGCCTGACCGCTACACAATGGGAGTAGACAACCATATGAGAAACAGTGACTTAAGCAATTCTCTCCAAAGAAACTTTTATCATTGAGGCTTATGGGTTGTTGGGTCCACAGGGTGACTGAATTTCTGTCCATTAAAGATCTTAGAAAAACCCAACACTGTAATGATTGGGAGCATATGATGTGCACCTTACCAGAACGATCCTGCTTCTGAAAACCAGGTTTTAAAGAGATTACAGGAGACTGGCAGGAGGCAGCAAACTTTTCCAGTTTTTGGCACCTTTCTCAAATCTACTTTTAGCCCTCATGCACACGGGACGTTTTGATAATGTTGGTAACGTTAGCTGTGTAAAGTCAAGTTAAAAATGGGAGTTTTTCAGTTTTTTTGTGTTTTTGCATTAGCGTTTAGCGGCATTTTCTGACGTTTGTATTTTTTAGCTTTTTTGAGGTCAAAAAAAGTCCAAAAGCGCCTGTTTGTGGCATTTTGCTGCATTGTACTGCGCTTTGTTGCATTTTTCAGCGTTAGAGCATTTTTTAAGCTAAACAACTCCTCTAGAAACCCACTAGTCATGTTTTTTTTTTTTCCAGCCAAAAAATGTTGATTACCGTCTATGTGTGCATGGACACATAGGATAACATACTAGCTGTAGAAAACATTTTCAAAAGTCAAAAACAGCCGCTGTAAAAACGTCAAGTGTGCATGAGGACTAAAGCATTGCATGCAGAAGATATGAGCAGCATTAGTGGAGAGACAGCATAAATGGATTTTTTTTTTTATTTGTAATGAAAGATAATCATCCATAGCATCAACTCACTAAGTTATAATATGTGTTTTTCCCATAACAATTGTTATTTTCAGCCATGTGACTGTTATTTTCATACCTCATTGGCTCTTGTTGCTGAACAGAATGGTCGTTATTGCAAATAACGATCAGCAAAGCTTAATAATTTGAGCCTTATGGGTGGGAAAATGTGCATTATACAAACATTTATATTCTCTTACTATTATTCCATAGTATATCTTTCTTACATTTTTAATTTTCTGCCATGTTTTCTATAGAGTACTGTAGAGGGAAAAAAAAGAATCATAAAAAAATTTAGGAAAGGACGTTCAAAAGATCAGTTGCTGACAACGTCCCTTCATCATAGGAATCCATGCCAACAGTATATCACAAGCAGCTATTGCTGTAGCATATGTTCCTATGTGCGTTCATGTGTATTTATGTATGTATTAGCAGTAAGACTGTTTTCAAGCACTGTCTAAGTCAAGATAAGTGTTTTATTTTGCCATACATCAGGACTTTAAGTGCCATTGCGTTTAATTAATGCTGCACTTTCTCCATTCTTCAGCAGTAATGCTCATCTGTAGCCCCGCTCCCAGTGCTTTCTTCCACCATAGAAAAAGACAGACATATTCCCATCATGAATAAGAAGCAGCTGGCTGGGTAAGGAGGCTCAGCCATCCATTGTGGCTTTGTGACCTGTCATTTTTCTATGACTATAATATAGATATCGATTTTCCTTCTTCAGAATTTATACTGGACTCTACAAGAGTCAATAACTAGTGTGTATAAATTAAGACAACACAAGAGACACGCAGTGATGAGAAACAACTGATTGATGTATTACTGGGCCAAGAGCTTGACATCAGATCTGCAGGGCTCTGCAAATGATATCCTGTGTTCTCTTTCATGGGAACAGAAAGGAAAACTTAGGTCCAATTTGTATCTGTCATGATACGGTTAGAGGCTCCTTACTTAACCCTTACAGCCCAACTGGGGTGACATCTGGGATCTTCCATATCTGTCATAGTATATGATGATCAACTGTGTGTTCAAACATTGAAAGCAAAAACAGTGGCTGAATGGTTAGTGTGGATGATGTCTGGTTTAAAGTGTATATAAACCCCAAAACAAAAATACATTACCATTTCTTAGATGTAATGGCTGCATTAGTTTTTTTTTTAATGCTATTTTTCCAGTGTTAATAAACCCACACCAGAAAAATCAGTCTGTATATGCCGTAAAGCTCATTGTGGAGCCTAAGGGGTTAATCCTCTTCATTGTGTAAAAAGACCGTTTGATCCTTTCTTCTCTGTTCCTCCCCTTTTTCAAGCGACCACCTCTTATCTCCTGATAAGACAGGCTGAACCGTAGGCATTTGCACATGCTCAGTTTGGTGTGTATTGCTAGAGAGGGTTTTTTTTTTTCTTGGGAGAGTGCATGTGATCAGCACAGGGCCAATCAGCACTGTCCAGACAGAGGTCAGGGGTGCTGCATCCTCCAGAGCAAAAATAAAACACTGCCTTCAAACTTTAGCTAGTGCTGGGCTGGACACTGATAGAAGGCACATGACTGCTCTAACTTTTGATGAGAAAAGGTATTTAGCAGTTTCTTTTACTAAAATAATTGCATTTCCATGTTCTGCGTACTGTGGGAGACCAGATATAGTGGATGCAGGGTCCGGAAAGACCAGATATAGTGGATGCAGGGTCCGGGGAGACCAGATATAGTGGATGCAGGGTTCGGGGAGACCAGATTATAGTGGATGCAGGGTCCGGGGGAGACCAGATAAGTGGATGCAGGGTCCCGGGGAGACCAGATATAGTGGATGCAGGGTTCGGGGTTTAGTAACACTTTAACCACTTAAGGACCGCCTGCCCGCAATGTACTGTGGACGGACTTTTCATACTGACAAAGCGACGCACTAGTATATCACTGCTTGTCTCCAGGACAAACATGAGCACCACCCCACCCCTGTGATTGTACACAGTGGGAGTCTGTCAGCAAATCATTGGGCGGGAATCTGCTGATTGGCTGTGCCCAATCACAGCCCAAAGCCCTGTGTTGGCAATCAGCACAGGGTTTTGTACATAGGGAATGATCCCTCTGTTTCTTAGGAATAAGAAACAAGGAGGTCTGTTTGTAAAAACAGGACATAATACACACATTACACATTGTTAGGTACACATTCAACCACCTGATCGTCCTTGATGTTAACCCCTTCTCAGCCAGTGTCATTAGTACAGTGACAGTTTATATTATTATCATTGATCACTGTATTAGTGTCACTGGTGATGTCAGTGGCACTTAGTCAGTTCCCCCCCCAGCATCAGTTAGTGTCAGATTGCCCACCACAGTCCCATTATAAGTGTCTAATCATTACTATTTGTAGTATATATTAAGAAAATTCCAGTATATATGCCATAGCTTGTAGAGGCTTGTAGCGCAAACCAATCAATATGCACTTATTGAAATTTTTTTCTTACCAAAGACATGTCGCAGAATACATTTTGGCCAAAACTTATGAAGATTTTTTTTTTATTGGCAATGTTTTATAGCAGAAAGTAAAATATAGATTTTTTTTTATTTTTTCGTTGATATCGTAAAAAAAAAAAAAAAACACAGTGATGATCAAATACCACTAAAAGAAAGCTCTATTCGTGTGAAAAAATTATATAAATTTTGATTGGGTACAGCATTGCATGACCATGACGAATAGCAAAAAATAGTCTGGTCATGAAGGGGGTAAAACCTTACGTAGCTAAAGCGGTTAATTTTCACCCGGTAATCCTACCAATAAGGCCTCGTTTATACATCTGGTTGAGTGAGGCTAAGAACAGCTGCATTTCTACTATCTGCCCAACAGCGCCCCCCAAGCTGCAAAGGCACAATGAAGTATTGTGCAAGATGCAAAGCCATAAGTGCAAAGATCTGAGACCTTTTATCTGGAACTAACGTGGCTTCACTAAAGAGCATTTTGCTTTTTATTCTGTTTATTGAATGAGCACAATGAAAAATAGAGATTCAAAGGTATAAAATTAGGCACCTGTTTAAAAAAAGGGTTTAAACCCCAACTGAAATCACAAAAGGATATATAGTACTAACAACCCCAGTTATTTCAATCAGCATTTTTCTGTGTTAGATATGACAGTGCAACAAGCACTAGAGTTTATCATCCTGCTCAATGTACCCCATAATCTCATAGGCACACCCACTTTATCGGCACTGCAAGCCTACGTAAAGACCCTTGTGATAAGACTTGTGGGCGCCACTCACCTCTGCCATCATTGTCAGCCATACATTGCCACCCTCCTGTGATTGATAAGTCAGAGCAGCCTTTCCCAAACTTTTTAAAAAGGAGGAACCCTTGAAATAAATTTCAGGTGTCATAAAATTTGCTAGCCTATTATTAGCATATTACCAACCAATGGTATGTACTATAAATGACCGGGTCAGCAGAAAGATTGCTCTTTACATTTGTGGTCAGTGGGAAGAATCTTCTGCTTATAGATAGCTAAAAGATCGTCAGTATCAGTGGTTACTTACCGAAAAGGGAGAAATTGCTCATTGATTGAGGATCCCCTAGAAAGCTGTGGCAACATCTATCAATCTATTAACCCAAAAACAGTTGAGATAAGCTTTGTCAGAGACTCTGACACACAGGCGGACTGACCATTTGGAAACTCGGGCACTGCCCGAGGGCCCAGGGTCAGTAAGGGGGCCCCATGAGATGCCCCTGGTACCTTTTTCATAGGCTTTTTTGAGTTTGGGCAAGGACACAGGGGCCCCATGATCCCCTATTGTCTGGGGGCCCCATGAGTTGTCAGTCCGCCTCTGCTCTGACATAAAGATACCAACAGACTCTGCACTCTTAAAGAGCAGAGTGTTGATGTAAAAATGGCAGGATGCTCAACTCTACTAAGAAAAAAAGTATTTTAAGGTATTTTCAAGTGAATTAGTGATAACATGAGGTCAGGTTTTTATTGTTGTCTATGTCCCCGCTGGTTAGATTTGCAATTGTCAGTGGTGTCGCTATGGGGGTGTGGACTGCACCCAGGTTACACCCCCAGAGGGGTGACACCTGTTCAGTGTCTGCTCTGGCCCAGGGAAGGTCACGATCCATGGCTGGGATGAGTCGCCATGTTTCCAGAGTCCAACCTTTATTCATCCCCATAGGAGGAGCCAGAAAGATGGCAGCACCCATGAAGTGGGGACAGGAGAAGGAGACTCTGAGTCAGAGTGTATGTGGAGAGGATGGGATGAAGATTTCCACTGCTTGTGTGCTAGAGATCAAAAAGTAGACCAGAGAGGGGGAGAGAGAGAGAGAGAGACAGCAGGTCAGTGTGTCTGCTGTGTACTTTATCCTCTATCCCCTGTCCCACCCCCCTCTGTCATCACTGAGACACGGGGCATTCCAAACCTCCTCAACTGCACCCCTACATACTGACATGGCACATTCCATCCATCACCCCCCCCCCCCTACATAGTGACATGGTACAATCCATTCATACACTGTACATACTGACATGGTACATTCCATCCATCACTCCTCTACATAGTGACATGGTACAATCCATTCATAGCCCCATACATGCTGCCATGGTAAATTCCATCAACCTCCCACATACTGACATGGTACATTCTATCCATCACACCCCACATACTAACGTGATACAATCCATTCATCACCCCCTTACATACTGACATGATACATTCCATCCATTACCCCCCCCCCCTTTACATAGTGACATGGTACAATCCACTCATAGCCCCTTACATACTTACATTGTACATTCCATCCATCACCCCCCTACATAGTGACATGGTACAATACATCTATAGCCCCCAACATACTGACATGGTACATTCCATCAACCTCCAACACACTGAAATGGTACATTCTATCCATCACACCCCACATACTAACATGGTACAATCCATTCATCACCCCCATACATGCTGACATGGAATATTTCTTCAAACCCCGCCCCCCCCCACTACTAACATAGCACATTTAATTCATAACCCCTAACCCTAACCCCCCCCCCCCCACACACACACACACCACACATACTAACACTGTACATTCCATTCTGGGGTCGGGGGGGCACACCATATTTTACCACACCAGGTGGCATCAACCCTAGTGACACACTGACAATCTTTATTGTCCTGGTGACTAAGAATTAGCTTTTTTCTGTTCAAACCTATAGGGAAGCTGTCAATTCAGGCCGAATCAGATGTGGCCAAGGCATTGCCGGCCCCGCCGTAGCTCATGCACAAAGGAGCAGGAAGTCTCATAACATCATCCACCTAATTTGGTCACGTGGCATTACCCGCATCTTCCCCCTGCACCTCCCAAATGGGGGTGCAGAGTACAGATCGGATGGGGGAACCAAAACTGGGATCAGGAACAGGGGTATCAGGCACAAGGCAGAAAGGTACAGGGTACAAGATAGGAGCAAGATTATGATCAATGGTAAACAGAATCTGGCAGCAGCAAAACACTAGGAGGCACTAGTAGGAGAGGACCTACAGTATATCCCAGGGGCGGACTGACCATTTGGAAACTCGGGCACCGCCCAGGGCCCGGGGTCAGTAGGGGGCCCCATGAGATGCCCCTGGTACCTTTTTCATAGGCTTTTTTGAGTTTGGGCAAGGACACAGGGGCCCCATGTCCCCTATTGCCCGGGGACCCCATGAGTTGTCAGTCCGCCCCTGTATATCCCCTCCTAGCAGTCAGCATCAGGTAGAAACTGATTACTGGAGTCTGATGGCTGCTGGGAGACACCTGCTGGTGGACCCTGGAACTACAACCTTCAGTTACGGGAAGAACAGTGCCCCAGCAGTTAATCCAGGTCCCGATACTCTTTTCTGTAGGTATCAGCAACGTTTGACTTTGAGAGAAAATAGCCTAAAATAATGATTTTTTTTTGATAGCATTTGCGAAGAAAAAATTCAGATGCAGGATGAATAGCTCTCCTATTTTTCTTTTAATACACCCTTTGTGTTTCTTAAAAAACTTTAGGCTACAAAAGGGTCAGAGGTATAAAGCTTCCAAGCACTATGGAATATATTGTTGCTGTGAAAAGTAACAGAATAAAAAAGGTTAACTACATTGTTTTCACTTAGATGGTGTTAGAGCAGCAAAAAAAAACAGGGGACATAAAGCTAGGCATGTCCAAAGTCCGGCGGGGCCTTTTAATCGGCCCGCGGGGCGTTTACAAAAAAAAAACAGCCAGGGCAGCCCGCTCAAATGCAATGATTGGCCCTCCCGCTGCCACTCCCATCCTGATGGCAGACAGTGCTTGGCTGTCAGGGGCAGTGCACATGCCTGACTGCGGCGCGTTCTCCCTGCTCTGTGAAATGCGGGGTCGCACGGCCCCCTCCTTCTGTGGCAGACAGTCTTCTGCTTGAAGCAGTGCGCATGCGTGACTGCGCCGCGCTGGGAGCGACAGAGGGCGGTGACGTCAGGGCCGGGCTTCCAGCGTGAAGTGCGTTTCTCTTCCCCTCCCGGCTGCCGAGCAGAGACTTCAGCTCCAGCTACTTTTTCACCCTTCACATTAGTGCAGGTAAGTTTTTTAAAATTTATTTTCAATACATTGTGAAAACTCAGCTGTCAGTTGAATTACTAATGGGGATGAAATTAAAAGTATGTCGGATTGCAATTAACTTGGCATAAAATAATTTATTTGCATTTAATTGGGGGTTCAAAGAATGTTCGGAAAAATGTTCGGCCCCCGGGTCCACCATGTTCACTTCATTCAATCTGGCCCTCTTTGAAAAAGTTTGGACACCCCTGACATAAAGTGTAGGTGACCCATCCTGTCTGATAC